GGAAAATTACTAAGGCAGAGGAGGAATGGGGACAGGATGAAAAGGAAAGAGGGATGGGGAGAAAGAGGAAGAGGTCAGCCTGGCAAGCAGAGAAGAGTACCACAGCCAGCTGTATCTGAAAATGATGGCACCCACCTGAAGCAGGAAGACACAAGGAAGGGACTAGGGAAGTGTGAACGTGATATGCCCCAAAGGACACCTTGATGTCCAACTTTTGACCTCCAGAACAACAAGCAAAAGTAATTTCTTCTTTCAAGCTACCAAATTTGTAGTAATTTATTACAGCAGTCTAGGAAAGGAATAGAACAAAGCTTTAAACAACTACTAAGTCAAATCCTGGTCATTATTCTTTGACAAAATTTTACTGACTTTCTGTAATCATTTAGTCTTTCAGTATAATTTTAAATTATTTTGACCAGGTCCAATTCAGAATCAAACTGCATTATATTTAGAGATAGCACTGGGATGAGTTGTTACTTTTGTAATAAATATTAATCTTCCCATCCAGGAATATTTTTTTCAATTAATTTGTGTCTTATTTCATATCTTTCAGTAAAATTTTATAGGTCTCTTTTCTTTTCTGAAGTATATCTTGATCATTTCATTTATCCCTAAATATTTTATTATTTTGTCACTAAGAAAAATAATTTAGTTCTATTTATACTTACTTTTCTAGTTAGCTGATTTTATATATTTATCCAATCTTTTGCAGCTTCAATACCCATGATAACTTAATTTTTTTATTTTATTTATTTAGGGTTTTGGGTTTTGTTTTTTTTTTTTTTTGCATGAGGGATCAAACTTGGGACTTCGTGTTTGCCAGGTAGGTGCTTATGCCATTGAGCTATATGCCAACTCACTGAACAACTTTAATGCTTTAATAGAGTTTCTCAAATACTGTAAGGAGAAAACCAGTAGTCTCTTTCCTTACTACTCTATGTGGCCCATTTTATTTACTATCTTTATGGCACCAATTAGCACTTAGGATGCATCTCTCAATTTTAGGAGTAATAGAAGCTGTCTCTAATTTTTCTGTATTTCAGCGGAATTGGCTTCAGAGTTTTATCTTTCGTTTTCATATTTTTTGCTAAGTAATTAGTTGCTATGATAACAAATACTTCTAAAGAAATTTGTATGTAAAAAATTTAAAAGAAATGCATGATGAATTTTTTAAAAAATATCTCTCCTATAGCTAATGGTATAGTCATAAAGGGTTCCTCATTTTAACTCATTTGGCACGTGATATATTTCTTCTTTCATAACTATTATTTGAGTGTAGTGTTCTTATTTATCTATATCTCACCTGCAATATCTTTCTGATGCTTCATTTTAGAAAATCAATGTCTAGCGCAGGGGATATAGGTCAGCGCCATTAGTGCCTGCTTGGCAAGCACAAGGTACTGAGTTCGATCCTTGGTACCACAAAAAAAAAAAAAAAGAAAGAAAAGAAATCTGCACATAGGTCTGTGACTGAGTCGATTCAAATCATTATTTAGTACATAGCAGATTTTGGCATTAAAATCACATAAATTTAGTAATGTTCTCTAGAGCTGAAGTTCTGTAGTCACCAATTATTTTACAGAAAATTTTGCATATCTTTAAATATCAGATATTACTATAAAACCATTTGGACCTGATGATTTTATAGATAATATGTTTTTCATTTTTTTTACTAACAATTTACTGAATCATCTTAGTTCAGTATTTTAATTCTTGTTGAAGTCTCTTTGTTTAGATTTTTCCAGACAATAAAATTCGTGTGTAATATATTTATATACATTATCCAATATTTTTAATATTACATTAAAATATTTTCTCCTGTGGTTTTTCTCCTATGTGATGCCACGGGTTGTACTTTTTTGCTCCTTTTGGCTAATTATGTAATATATTTTATTAATTATTTACAAATAACACCTCATTCATCTCTTCAGTGAGATGAGATTACTTCTGGCTTGATGTTTTCTATTTTTCACTTTTTCTTTTTTTTTAATATGTAATTGTTTCTTTCCCTTTTTTATGCACTTCATGTGACCTCTAGATTTCCTAATTTGGAAGTGAAACACACTTGCATATGGTCCTCTTCTTGTGTGTTGTGGGATTAAGCAGGGCCTTGTGTATGCTAGACAAATGTGCTACCACTAACCAACATTCTCACTCTTTTTTTTCTTTAATTTTAACTCAAGTACCCTTTTATTTCTCTTGCTTTGAGAAAACTTGACTGTAATGGGCCCTGAATGAAGATTTCATATCATTATGCCAACCCATATGCACTATTATTTGTAGGTGGAAAAATGAGGGCTCAAGGGCCCTGTTCAGAGTTAGGGAATTGGGTTAAAAGATGACAGAGCAGGGAGGAAATCTTTAGCTGTTTCCCAGAATGGTGGGCCAGGGTTTCCAAGTTTTTAAAATCATCAAGGGCATTACTACCAGTGATCACTCCCTTGACCAAAAGAGGAGATCACACTTCCTGTGTAACTCATTCCTGATGGTGCTTGCTGGACCTCATGTAGGTGCTATCAGCTGCACTGAGGACCCAGTCACACTCCTTCTTCAACTGTGACCCAGGAGGATGACTCCTTTTGAGGAAGCTAGGCTTTCTTTCATTTTTTTTTCCTTTTATTTGCTTCATCCTGATCTTCATAACAGCACTATGAAGAAACTTCTCTGGTCAGCAAGTCACCACTCAAGTAACTTCAGACATGGGGAGACCACACGTTAGCACAACATCCACTGGAATAGGATGGCTGATTTCTTACAGAAGCCAATAGTTCACCTGAGGCAGGCCCCACAGACCCAGTGCAAAGTTGGAAAAAGGGTTACTCAGCCAACAGGAACTGGCTGAGGGGCTGCAAGTTTCAACAGCTGACTTTCCTTCTGTTTAGCAGAGGGGTGTGGGACCTCTTGTACCTGGGGGTGTGTCAGAGAAGAGCATCCAGAGTGTAGGAAGTCACCTGGCCATGTACATGCAGTTTTCTGTAGACCTCATCAAATCTGGGTGCAAGGCTAGGCACATCCTTTTCTTCTTCCCTCACTTTGGCCAGCACTTCCTTGAAGAACTCCTGTCTTTTCACAAATTGAGATAAACTTCCTTTTGCAGCACCTTGTAGTATCTCCATGAGGGGTTCCAACATATCTGACTGGAGATGGATCATAATATTTAAATTGGTGCAGGGTGTGCTCTCTGGACTCATGATTTGAGAAAATATAGATGGAGCTTTGGCTACTTCATTTTGATTCAGCGCTAACGCCACAGTAAAACAGCACACTCTCCTGAAGAGAATGTCTCCTTTGATGAAGGCATCTTCTCTTAAGGTAGTACAGGGTTTAAAAGATTCTGGGCTGTTCAGCTTGGAGCACAATGCAAAAGCAAGGACATGGCTATCTTGGTTGGACCTTGCATTCTGGCTTTTCATCTCTATCAACACTGCCCATTTTCAACATTTTCATATTTGCCCTTGATAACTACCACATGTGTTAAAATATTAAATGATGTGGAGCATGAGAAGAGACCTTATAAATGCAGGACTTTGATGAGCTATCCTGCAAATTCCTCAAGATCCATCTTGTAACACAGCCTCATGAAAACTGGTCCAAATTTAAATTCCCCCAACGTGTAATTTCTATTTTCTGCATGGTACCTGTGAATGACATTTTTAGCCAACTCCACATCCTCCTGGGACTGACACAAATGAAGCAAGATCCTCAGCTTGTCCTTCAAGATAAGTTGGATCTGGGCCAGTTTCTCTTGAAAGTTTCTAAAATAGGTTTCTTTAGTGCCAGGAAGATTGCATGCAATCACCAACTTCTTATGTTGAAATTCCTTTAATTTTGTAACATTATCTGTAGGCAGGTATCTTTTAGCTCTGAGGGGTCAGTGGCAGCAGGTGGGGATGGAGCCCACCACCCAGGGACACAGAAAGGTATGAAGTGCTCATGGTGAAACCCTTTCCCCTGGCTGAAGTGTGGCAACCATGTTGCCCAAGAGCAATATTCTCATTCTTTTTTTGTGGAGAAACAACAATGAGACAGTTTCAAATCCAATTAGTGGAACAGTTTCAATAATTAATACATTGCATATTGCTGCCTTAGTGGCTATTCACTGTACAAGATGCAGACATGATATCTGTCCACAAACACTATTAGAACAAATCTTTCTATCCATTGAATTAAGAGAATGTAGCTGTATATCTATCTTAACTATTTTGAATATACAGATACAAAATGGTTGTTCATTTGTATCCCTTCTTTTGTTTAGTTTTGTCAGAGAAGGGTATTCTATTGTCATTTAAATATTATAGGTGTGTGAATTTGGCAAAATATTCCAATATAGTCCAGTAGTCCATAGTAGTAGTGGGTTTTCTGTAAGACTGCCAGTGTCAAAAGTTGTTGACTTGAATCTTTTACAATAGAGCATATCAATATGGCTTTACTTATTATATCTCATTTTTATGATTTTCTGGTGAATAGTGAAGACCAAGGTAAAGCAGGATCTATATAACAAGAAATGTAACTTTTGTATCTGGTAAGGTCAGTCAAATTCCCTCAGGATTTATCTAGAGACCCTGTATTGTAGTTTGTAGATCCTTTTTTGGTGTCAACCATGTGGATGACTAGCGACCACTGCTTAACCAATTTGCTCTCTGTGAAAGCCTGAGAGTGTTTTCTCTCCATGTGACTCTCCTTAGGCACACTCTACATCAACAATCAGATTCCAATGTGGCCCTATAATCTCCTTGATCAGAAAATTTGGGACACAACTGAGTTACATCATGTTACAGTACAGGTTCTTCTATGTCCTGAGTCTTCACTGACCTTGAAAGGCTAAGGCCAAAATGTTGGCTGTCCTTGCAGCCCTCCTTTCACTCTAATTTTTGGTCTGCAAACTTAGGTTGTTAACCTTCTGGAAGAGAAGGTTATTGTTATTACCCTACAACCTAGGCTGTTAAGCTTAACCTCCTTATCTGTCTAAATATCAAACATCT